CTTTTCTAATGGAACAGCTGCAAAGGGGGAGTTTCTGCCACTCTTCCTGCCTCTGCTGTGGTCCCATGAAATGTGAGGACTTGACAATGGGAGGCCCCAGGGAACCAAAGGGGAAGCCAAGAGCTAGAAGCCTATCTGCAGGCCTAACATGGAGTCACAATGGTGGAACTCCCTGCTTCCAGATTTATTGACATATGATAGTAATTAAGTGTCCTTCTTAACTAATCCAGTTTTACTTACTGGTCAACTGCACCTGAAAGTTCCCAAACTAAAGCACAACGCATCCTATGGCATGAAGAGTTTTGGTATCTGGCCAATATTCCAGTATGGATGAAGAAAAATCATAATTATTGATTTCTAAAACATATTCCAGAAGAATTATAAAATGAAATAATGACAGTATAATTGCCATTTTCTAAAATGGCAGCTACATGTAAAGTGAGAATCTGACTCCTGGCCAGTCATTTGTGTTTGGCTCCATTATCTCCATCCATTCACAACTGGGCCTTCTTACAGCAGACACAGCAGAGCACTTCTTTCTGACGGGATCCTTTTCCTAGTTGTAGAGAAAACACAAGAGGGTGATCTTTAATAGAGGCTAATGTTAATATGGAAGAATATAAAAATAATCTCACCCATTTTAATTGTAATAGAAACTGAAGGAGGACCAGTTGACCTCTACCTTCTCTTCCATCTATGTAGTGGGTGATTCAAAACATAATTTTTTGAAAGATTTTAAAACACCAAGAAACCCCAATATTACCCTATCAAGTTGTATATTCTCTAATAATATAGTATTTGGTTGTTTCCCTGAAAGAAAATAAGCTTTTAGGAGAAACAATTGTTGTTTTATATAATGCCTGAGGATTTTCATTAGTTACTAAAGGGTTCTCCACTTAATCTTGAATGAATCATTTTATTGACATTGATACATGGGCCCACTCTGGCATCAAGATTTTTATGTTGGATTTTTAAACTATAATCCACTGAAACATAATTTCCCCAAAGTTTCTAAATTCAAGACATACACTGTATTGATAGTCTCCTATCTAATTTGATATCCAATGTTTTATGAAATATTCCCTCCTCTGAATTAGCTTCCTGCCTCAACTGTATATATTATTATGCTTGTAGGCTATTCAGTAACAAGACATCTGTTCAGAAATCCCTCTAGAAAGTTTCCTACATTATTTATGTCACTGCTAAAACTATTTCCCCTCCCTTAAAAAACAGCTGGTTTACATACAAGAGGAAAAAAGATCATTATTTAGCCAGCAATGTTGATAAATGATTCTGGTGTCTTTTAGCTGTCATTGCTTTTTATACACTAATTAGCTTCATAAGTCTCTTCTGCTCTCAAAGATTGTTAAGTAGCCATTTAGTAGTAATTTTAAATGCTACTCTTATATTCTCTCAATTAAAAGTAAATTTTAATGATTTTTAGGTAAATGGTTTCAATCTCACAAATCAGTAAGATCTCCCAAATAGCTTGTACTATGATTTTTGAGAGCTCTGAACTTTTGTCTGCTTATTTTCTCCTGCAAAGTTAATATACTTACCAAAAATTTCCACATTCCACATCATCAGAGCTTTCATCTTGTCTCAAAAGAAAAAAGAAAAAAAGTTGAAATGCCGATTAAAAGCCAAAACCAACTAGTTTCAGCCTCAATTTTCAAATGTCAGTTTGTTTTTACCTAATTCTAGTAAATTTATATAGTGTAATTCTAAACTTTGCTATTCGATGGTTTCCCTACTGAAGAAAAGCAGTAGAACTTTTCACCACCTGTGTTGCTTTTGGAGACCAGCCCCTCCCCATCCGTGGTCTGGGCAACCTCGTGCCAGGCAGGTCCTCACAGAGGGGACTGCCTTCTCACTGCTCTCAGGGCTCCTGCGATTACCTGTTGTTGCTCTGCAGCTGACTGTCCTGGGGAATGGCCCAGGATGAACAAGGTACTAACCAAAGAGGTGACTTTCTACATTCAGCACACCATAAAAGGGAATTCCAAATAGGAGGAAAGGGGAAAGGAATCCATAAAAAAGACCAAGTAAAGGTCAAGTCTTTGCATTTTTGAATAGAAATCATTTTCTGCTGAATTAGCTACTACAGTATTTCTCAAGCCTTTGAATTTGATTCCTACGGAGTTTAGTTTTTCCAAAACAAAAGTGGGAAGGAAGTGTTGTTTTTCAGAATAAGGAGGTTTAACTAGATTTCAATTAAAAGAAAAAAGAAAAAGATATACAGCCTGATAGATATGCCTAGAATTTTTGGCCAAAATACAGAATTTGCCAAAACCCAAGGGTGGGTGAGGGCAGGGGGCCGAGGTAGTTCTGCCTGTTTAGAATGTGGTGCATAATGAGGTTGCTGAACTAAGCTAGAGAAAACAGGAGGAAGACGCAGATTCCATTAGCTCAAGCAATATACAAATGCTGTTAATTAATTATTTTTGTTTCATGACAAGAGTTGTTTTTAAACAGACAACTACCACCACCATACCCCCTCTCCCCAAAAAACTGAAGTGGCCTCAAATGCACCCTTAAGTCTTTGTTCCCACACCCTCAACAACCTTGGTTCTCCAGTCCTACTCGTTCCTGCCCTGAAACCTGACAAACAGCAAAAATCCTGAAACAGAAAGAGAGAGAGAGGAGAGAGAGAAAATGGGGGGAGAGAATGGGAGACAGAGAGAGACAGAGAACGTATTTTGCCACCCTCCTGGCTAACTGAAATGCTTGTTCCCGAGATTACAGTAATTACAGCCACAGCATGAGTTCCATACAAGCGCTAAATGAAACAGCACATCAATTAAAAAATAAACACTCCATTCTAGGAGAAAGACAACCCCCTGGGACGTCCTAACAAGCGTAAATGAACCTGCCAGGCCGCCGGCCCTTCAGGCCTCCGCCTCCCCTCCCTGTCTTAAGGTAGTTGCGGAGCTGGCGGGGGCAAGTGCTCATTGGCGGTGTCCCAAGTGGCTGCTAAAAGCAGCTCAGGTCCCCTCTGCTCCTTGCGGATCGCTGATACGTGTCGGTGCGTCGGCGCCAGGGCTCAGCACCGCCTCCCACGGTAGAAAAGGAGGCTCTGGAAAAAATGTGAACTTTGGATAGACATACATATGTTCCAAAAGTACGAAGCGAAGAGAGGGAAGCCAGCCGCAGTTTCCAGTCCGTCCTATTTATAACTTACTTACTTTTTTTTTTCTTTTTCTTTCTGTCTTTTGCTCTTTCTTTCTTTTCCTTCCTCTCCCTTTCTTTCCTTTTTCTTTTCTTTCTGGAAGGGAACTATATCTTCATAAGGAAGAACTTCGTCCCAGATGCTTGACGTATCTTATCCCACTTAATTAGCGGAACCCCCTTTGAAATCTGTACTACTACCCCACTTTTCAGGCAAGAAAACTGAGGCTCCCCTGACCAATCAGCGGAGGCGGGAGAATCCTGGGCCCGCCCTTGTGCCTGGAGCCTCTCCCGCCCCTCGCGTGCTGGCGGCTGTGCTCCCGTACACCTTCTGGGGCGCCCTCGGTCCAGCCCCACTATCCAGAATGAATTGCAGTCTCCCACTCCTCTCACGCTTCCAAGCCTCAAACATCATCATTCTAAAAACCCCAAGAGGAGCACACCTTCCCGGTTCTCCCGCACAGCCCGGCCCCAGTCAAGCTCCCGTGCACTCCGGTGGGGGTGGGTTCCCCACCGACCCGGCTCACAGAGGGGCGCGGGGTCACCCACATTAGGCAGCAGCAGTAGGCAGGGACGTGACTTGTTTGAAAGGAACCTAAAAACGCACGCGCAGGCAGAAAACCCCCATCCCAGTCCCCAAGTGCAGACTCGGGGAAAAGGAACCAAGAACTCAAACGCACTGAGCGCTGTGGAGACAATCGTGGCAAAACCTCGGTCTCTGCGGTCAAACCCAAGGTTACCAAAACTCTCCATCCGCAGAGGGCTCGCATGGCCGCAGGGACACTCCGGACCGCCTTAAGGAAGGCTGAGACTTGGGAGCGCGTAGACTCCGCCCCCTCTCCCGGCGATTGGCGCGCCCGGCTGAGGGCGGAGACCGAGTCCGCGCTGTATAAATATTCATGAGCCGGCCGGGCGGTGCGAGCGGGGCCGGAGCCGGGAAGTTGGGTGAAGGGCGCTGCTCCCGCCGAGGAGGAGGAGGAGGAAGAGGAGGAGGAGGTGGAGGAACAGGAGGCGGCGGCGGAGGCAGTGGTGGCTGGGCGCGGGCCGCGCCGCTCAGGTGTCTATTCCGCCTTCTGGTCTGGATTTGGTTCCGTGTGTCTAGCAAGAAGGGGACTGCCTACACCTCGCCGGATTCCTGGCCGAAGCGCGGAGCGGACTTTTACCGGAGGTGGAGTCTGTCAGTCCCGGCGGCGGACCGACGGACCGACGCCTGGGAGAGAGGGCGGCGGCCTCTGCGGAGGCGGGTCCCGAACTCCGGCGGCAGAGCAGCGCAGCGTTGGGGAGCAAGCATGAGTCCCTGGGGACAGAAAGGGGGCTGCAGGGGCTGACCCTGAGCGGCGAGCGGCCTGGCCCAGCCATCTTGACTGCGCACCGAGGCCCGAAAGGAAACTTGCTGTGCCGCCGCCCTCTGTGCCCGGCAAAGTCACCGCACCGTCCCCGGCGCCGCGTGGAGAAGTGGCCGGGCGCGCCGGAGAGAAAGCGAGCGAGAGAGGGACGATGAGCGGGGGGCTAGCCACTGTGCTGCGAGAGGGCTGAGTTCGACCGACCCGGAGTCATCAGGGCAGACTCTCGGGGACTGTGGTGCACGCCTACGGCCACCCTCACTGCCGCTGCCCAGGCTTCGGGCCCCGCGGTGCGGACGCGTCCCGAGAAGGGACTAGGTTAACTGTAAGACACCCCCCCCACCCCCTCACTCCGCCCGCCTTCCGGGAGAGGCAGCAAGGAGACCTGCAGGGCACCCGCTCTCCCCTTCTCCGGCTCCCTTGCCGAATCCCCCGGCGCCCCTCCGCGTTCCGCCTGGAGGGCGAGGGCGCGGGGCCGAGGCGCGCAGCATGGAGTGGGGTTACCTGTTGGAAGTGACCTCTTTGCTGGCCGCCTTGGCGCTGTTGCAGCGCTCGAGCGGTGCGGCGGCTGCCTCGGCTAAGGAGCTGGCTTGCCAAGAGATCACCGTGCCGCTGTGCAAGGGCATCGGCTACAACTACACGTACATGCCCAACCAGTTCAACCACGACACGCAGGACGAGGCGGGCCTTGAGGTGCACCAGTTCTGGCCGCTAGTAGAGATCCAGTGCTCGCCCGACCTCAAGTTCTTCCTGTGCAGCATGTACACGCCCATCTGCCTGGAGGACTACAAGAAGCCCCTGCCTCCTTGCCGCTCGGTCTGCAGGCACTTTTCAGACCAAACCGCGCCTCATGCGCCAGTACGAGCTTCACTTCCTGTTCCTGTGCGCTGCGACCGGCTGCCGAACGGAACAGCCATTTACATGATGCATGGACTGGCCGCGCCGACCCTCTGCAAATGCGCACCCAATCCGCCGCGCCGCCTGCCGCCGCCGCCCCCCCAGATTGAGCAGTAGCCATCGACGGTGGCCTGACCGCTCCGCCCGGGGAACCCAGCAGACCCCAGATCCACGCAGTGAAGGGCGGTGGCGACGTCGGACAACGGCGCGCGGCGGCGGCGGGCGGCAGCGGCGAGCGGCGGGGAGGCGCGAAGCCTGGCGGCAGCTCCATCCCTACCGACCGGGCTATGATTCGCCGCGCCATGGTGAACGTGTCCAGCGAGGCGACATCCCTCTACAACCGCGTCAGACCATTATTACCAACTTTGCGCGCTGCCCTGCCCACAACCCTTCTTCAGCCAGGGACGAACCGCGCCTTCACCCGTCTTCTGGATCTGACCTGTGGTTACTGATGCTTTCGGTACTTCATTAATCCACCTTCGCCACCGTCTCCACCTTCCTCATCGATGCGGAGCCGCTTCAAGTATCCTGAGCGACCCATTATCTTCCTGTCGGCCTGCTACCTCTTCGACCAATCACAATCGGCTACCTGGTACGCCCTGGTGGCAGACCACGAAGGTGGTCACAGCAACGGCGCGCCAGACTGGCCGTGCAGAGAACGGGTGGCGCAACGGCGGCAACCAGGCGCGCCGGAGCGCCTGACAGGGCGCGCGGGTGTGGCGAAGACGCGGCAGTACGAAGTGGGCGCTGTGGAACGCATTACGCTACGAGACCACGGGCCCGGCGCTGTGCCACCGTGGTCTTCTTGCTCGTCTACTTCTTCGACAGCCAGCTCCATCTGGTGGGTGATCCTGTCGCTCGTGGTTCCCTGGCGGCGGGCATGAAATGTGGGGCAATGGGGCCATCGCTGGCTCTCAGTACTTCCACCTGGCCGCGTGGCTCGTGCCCAGCGTCAGGTATCGCCGTCCGCAGCGCTCAAAGCTCGGACGGCGACCGGTGGCCGACATCTGCTACGTGGGCAACCAGAGCCTCGACAACCTGCGCGGCCGTTCTTCGCCCGGCTATCATCTACCTCTTCATCGGCACCATGTTCCTGCTGGCCGGCTTCGTGTCGCTCTTCCGCATCCGCTCAGTCATCAAGCAGCAGGGCGGCCCCACCAAAACCCGCCTAAACTGACTCATGATCCGCCTGGGTCTCTTCACCGGCGCGCCACGCCCGCCGCCGTCGTGGTCGCCTGCCTCATCGCCTGAACGCTGGCAGCCCGCGCTGGGAGGCCACGCACAACTGCCCGTGTCTGCGGGACCTGCAGCCAGACCAAAGCGCCCAGCCCGACTCGCCCGTCTTCATGCTCAAGTACTTCATGTGCCTCGTGGTGGGCATCACCTCAGACGTGTGAGTCCTGGTCCGGCAAGACTCTCAGTCGTGGCGGCGCCCTGTGCACCCGATGCTGCTGGGCCAGCAAGGGTGCTTCGGGGGGCGCGGGCGCTGGGGCCGCAGGGGGGGTTGGGGTGCCGGGAGGTGGTGGGGGCGTGGGGTCCGGTGGGGGCGGGGTCCCGGGCGGTGGGGCGGGATCCCTCTACAGCGACGTCAGCACCGGCCTGACGTGGCGATCTGGCACGGCCAGCTCCGTGTCTTATCCAAAGCAAATGCCATTGTCCCAGGTCTGAGAGGAGGGGAGGGGGCACCCGGAAGGAATGGGGAGGGGGGCGAGGAAACCTAGTGCAGCGAAGGGACACTCGATGGGCTGAGGTTCCCACCCCTTCACCGTGTTGATTGCTATTAGCATGATAATGAACTCTTAATGGTATCCATTAGCTGGGACTTAAATGACTCGCTTAGAACAAAGTACCTGGCATTGAAGGCTCCCAGACCCAGCCCCCTTTCCTCCATTGATATGCGTGGAGCTCCTCCCGCCAGGCGTTAATCTCTGTTGGCAGCGGAGGGTGGACTCTGCTGCTGCGTTTCAGAACGCAAGGTCTGTAGCCCTCGCTGGTTGCCATTTGCTGAGCTTGAAGCCAGATCTACAGATTTCACCTGAGGGACCTGTTTTTCTCCCTCTACTCTCCTACGTAAATTCTTACTCCTAACATATCCTAGAGGAGGGATGACCGCGACCTAATGGAATTGCACGGTTTGGGTATTCTTAATGACCAGGCAAATGCCTTAAATAAACAAACAAGAAATGTCTTAATTATACACCCCAAGTCAATACGGGTTTCTTACATTAGAGGATGTATTTATATAATTATTTGTTAAATTGTAAAAATGTGTAAAATATGTACATATTCAAAGATATACAGTCTGTACATTTTTTTTGTAAAAAGTTTAGAGGCCACCCCTGTAAGAACAAATATAAGTATTCTATTTTGTCAATAAAATGACTTTTGATAAATGATTTAAACATCGCCCTCTCCCCCTGCCTCTTCTAAGCTGTTACCTTTAAAGTGCTTGCTAAGGACACGCTGGAAAAAATGGACATTTTCTGGTTTCTCATTTTGTACTCTGACCTTAGGCATGGAGAAAATGACCTGTTAAACTCTAGTTCTTAAGTTGTTAGCAAAGTAAATATCACTGTTGAACTGAAATCAAAATTGAGTTTTTGCACCTTCCCCAAAGATGGTGTTTTTCATGAGAGCTCTTTTCTGATCCATGGATAACAACACTCACCTTAGTGTATGTAAGTGGAACTTTTGCAAGGCAATAATTGCACTCAGGCCTTGTTATTTATCTTGTATAATATGACTAAAGGCTTCAAAACCCCGCATTTATTTCTTGGCGTGCCTGATTTTGAAAGCACCTGGGTTTTCAGGGACTGAACACACTGCTGAAGTGCAGACGTTAATGTTTTAAACCATCGATCGCACTTTACAGTGTAAGTCACTTGACTATCTGGTAGCGGAGCAGGCGTTCTTTAATGGATTAAACTAACGGGTTAACATCTTAATAACCTTCCAGGCTTGTGTATATCAAATGTGCTTCTTTTTCTAGAGAAAAAGCTATTGTTCCTCTGTCAAGACTAAGCTAATTTATTTGAGCAGAAGGCTGTTGAATTAGCAGAAGAATGCTTTGGCAATTGTTGAACTTTTTACCTGTCTGCCCAGTGGCCCAGCACATCATTCCTTTAAGAGGAGCTAAATGAATAGGGTTAATCTGTAGGGAACTTGGTCTTTTGAGTTTGAAAAACTTTGATCTTTTCTCCTCTCCAAATGTGCTGTATAGTCTGAAGTTTCTTTCCCTGCTGCCCGGCTCCTCTTGGTGCAGACCAATTGGCCACCGCGGAGCCTTAAAGTTCTTCCATTAAAGGGATGTGGGACTTTTACTTTAAAAAGGAGAGAGAGCGAGGGAGAGGAAGACTTGTAACAGTTAGTGAAGACCAGAGGCACAAGTGCGCTCAGCCTTTTAAACAGCTTTTCCCGGCATTGTTAGCCAGCCTGCAGGCAGCTAGGCATGGGTTGAAGCATTATAGAAAAGGGCTCTGAATGCCCTACAGGTGGTCTGTGCACATAATCCCCCAATTTAAAGCGTTTTCCTTTGCTGGACAATTGCATTACAAAACTCCCTTCTTTTTCGCCCCTAATTGAACCAATGAACTATTATAAACTACAAGTTTTTCTTTAAAAAAAAAAAAGGGGGAAAAAAACCTCAGTGCCTAAATTCTATTGAGTAAATTCTGGCAAGTTTTCTGAACTGAACCTTTTAAAAGCACCGGAAGTAAATGCTTCTTCAGACATTTCACTTTTCCAGATATTTTTATTCCTCATGCTTGTTATTTTCTGACAGATTAGCAATAATTTAAAAGTAATTGGTAAGGTTGTGTGTTCATACTGAAAAGATAGCCCCAGGTCCCTTATTAACCTGTCAATCAAGATAAGAAATGGGCAGCTACCCCTGCTAATGATGGGGGGCATCAAACATTGCAGGGCGGGAGGCGACATGTTCTCTGCATCCTGCTAAAATGTTTGTTCTCTTTACTTTTCTTAATAGGAATATTTCGTGATTAAAAAAAATTTTTTTTAATTAATAGGATGGAAACTACTTCCTTGGCTGATCTTTCTCGTGTGAGAGGGTTTTAAGAAGAGTTTCTTCGTAGAAACATTTTGCAAATCCTTTCCAGAATAATTCTTGGTGGTAATTGGATTTTTAAATTAGATATGCCATAAAAGAACACCTACTTTAGCTATCATGCTGATTATATTTCTTAAAGCCAGAGGCACTGTAAAATCTTCACCTCCCAGCAGTTTTATTTATTAAAGAATTACTGTTTTGTAACTTAAGTCCCAATAAGTGGCCTGCATCGAACCCATGTGGTGATGCTCATATAGAGTATATAAGCCAGCCATAAACTTTACAGTTTCAGTAATAAAGTGTAATTTTGAGGGCACTTCCCATAGTCTTTACCACATATATGGGGTGGGGAGAGAGCTAAAAGTCACTACTTAGCATATTGGTGTTCTAACATAGCAGCATTCTCATTATAGACACATTTCCAACTATGTGACAGTGGGAAATGTCCAACTTTGAAGCTTTTTTCCTTTATTAATTTTTCAACGTATCTTTGTAAAATGCCATACTTGATAGCTTTTGCAAAATGACTATAAATGTGCACAATATAAACAAGTTTATTAAACAAGCAAAAAAACCCTCCTGACATTCTGAGGACAACTCTTAGAAGGTTTTAGTAAGACCTGCACCTGTAATCACTAAAGACTGATTTTAGACACATACTGAAACACAAGTGCTGGTTCTTTGCCTTGAAAACTAAAACTTGAGTTGCAAAGTTGCTAATATCCAAATGGTATCTATTAATAGAACAAAAGACTCAAAATTTATTTGGGGGGTGGCAAAATGAAGGAAGAGTCTCATTTTGGACATTTGCCTTAGTTAGACAAATGAATAGGTTCCTTGCCAGAACACCCTCTTTGTGCTACATTAACTATATGGAACAAGTGTTTTGTTTTGTTTTGTTTTGTTTTGTTTTGTTTTGTTTTGTTTTAATTTTGTCAAACATGGGAGGTGAGGGAGCAGGGAGGGGATATGGTTAATGTGTGGCTAGAAGATAGTGTAAATAAAATCTAATATGGTTAAATCCATTAGTAAAGCCAAAGCTCATTATAATTACTTGTGGGGAAAGCCATGTGAACCACTTTGCTTTATAATAAATGCAATTTGAAGTACTATAAAAGGGGACAGAGTTGGGGGGGGGAGTGTATAAGAACGTTTAAGGAGCAAACTGTCATTATTACAGTTTCCTAACTTGCACTGATGGCATTGCAGGTTCCTGTAATCCTTGAAAGTTTCGGGGAAGAAAATCAGAATGTCTTGCCGAAAGAAAAATTACACAGAGACTCAAGCAGTTGCAGAGTACAGGACGCAATTGAAAGTATAGGTGCAAACATTCTGTAAAGTCTCTCCAAAACAAATCACGTGTAGCCATCTGCTTTCCACGTGTGATACCATACCGCCACCTTGTGGTACCCAAAGTACCACAGGTACAGAACTGGGAGGTTCCTTCATTCAATTCCTTCATTCAAAAATACTGAGCCTCCACAATGCTGGCCCTGTCCCATGCACAGTGCCCACACAGAGGGCCTGCAAGCATTTTGTATTCATAATTTTGAATTCTTCAGTTTAAGGCCCCACAATATCTTATCATTGAATTAAATACTCAATATAAACTTTATACTAAAAATGTAATTAAGTTCTATCTTTCTGAAATTATCTTCTGATTAACTTTTATTTAAAGAGTGGGCTACTCCCCAAAGATCCACCACCTAATGAGGATGGATCCAAAATTTAATGGGAGAAAGGATGAATCAGGAAGAATATTTTGAGGTGGTATGTAGTTGGCTCGCTTAATGTACTGTTTTCCAGTTTCCCACTTAGCGGTTGATCTGCTGAATCCAGTGGACACTCTTCAGTGCTGTACATGAATGCTATTGGGTTGGGTGGGATGCAGGCTGTCCCGGTTACCCAGCCAGGTGTTTGTAGGAACACACCAAAGAATAGAAACTGTGCTGGGAAACAAGGTCAGCCAAAGGGAGGAAGGGAGAAGCATCTGCTCTGGAATGTCTGAGCCCTGAGGGAGGAACAGTGTGGGAAGACCAGGCCTTTAAGGGGGCAGGGGCTGCATATAGGGAAGAGGCAGCCTTACAAAGCCTACATCTGAAGACTTCCTGTTCTGAGAATCAGAACGGCTGATGGGGAAAGGAGGGAAGGAGGAAGCACTGGTCAAGGGGATACAACTAAAGATGTTAGAGGTCATCTACCAAGATCATGGAATTTTTAAAGACAGAGATCCCAGGGTCATGGAGAACTTTGCTTCTCCATGGACAATTAGCAGGGGCAAGATCTAGGAGCATGATGGATATGTAGAATCTCAAGTCTTGCTTGCTGAATTAGAAGCTGTATTGTAACCAGATCCCCAAACCCAGAAGCCCAAAGAGGTCCAGACATGCCAAAGTTCATACAATCAAGAGCAGACCTAGGCCTAGAAGCCACTAATCCTACTTGCCATTCCTATTTCTATAGTTCTTTCCCAGCTGCTCTGCTGTCTCTGTAAATCCCTGAGATCATCACTATGTGCATCCATGCCTGAACATCATGATCTTACCAGAGCTATGTTTACTAGTTACACAATCAGAGCACAGTACAGGTTTCTCCACAGTTT